CGATAGAGAAGCTATCAGCTAGCGTTTTCAACTAATTTTACCCATAGCCACCACAAAGGTCAACAATCTACGCATGCATACATTTCAAGTCAAACAGACTACAGCTAAACAGAGGAATCTGCAAGGAAAACAATGAACCAACCATGTCCATCTCCAAAAAACTCATACAAACCTTCTCAGAATGGAACTATGAAAGCTCCCAACCTAACACCATACAACAACAACAACAACATCAACAACAAACAAACCACCAAAAGGAAAAGCATAAAAAAAAAAAATGATTAAATAAACTCAGAAACTAAACTTACACTATATACTAAAACCCAACCTCCTCTTAGCAGACTTGCTCCTAAAACACCACACCTCGAAAGCCTCACTCAAATCCGGGTACCTCCCCCCATCACCACCCTCCATCCACTCCGCCAGAATCTCCGCCTGATCATCAGACGGCAATCCCGACACTATTGACACAATCGCCCCTTCTATCCCTTCCCACATATCCTCGTCACCCTCCAACCACCCCTCACCCCTCAAACTCCTCACAAACGGCACCCACACCTTCAAAACCCTCACCCGACCCGCGGCCCGCAGGATAACACTCCCGTACCCCACCGCATCCAACACCCTATACACCACCCGCAAAATACGGGCCCGAAAGCCCGGCCCAAGCCCGCGGGCCTCGACTGCCTTTAGAATTCCCTCAGACGAGTCGATCCACCCGGAGACGAACTCGGCCATGAGGCCCATCTTTTGTGAGACTCCGCACATCCACTCGAGATCCGAGAGGCACCGAGTGATTCCTTCCTCGGAAGATTCCGCCAGCAGGCGCTCGAACGACGAGAGGGTTCCGGAAAGGCCCGTTCGGGCCTCGGATAAAATGTCAGGGTCGGAGGAGAGCGTGAACTCGCTCTTAGCCAGCATGTATTCTACCTGTTCTTGGGCCGAGACACGCGGCCCGTAACCGAGAGTGGGGCACGGGCCGTCGGATGATGTGGCGAATTGGATGGCTGAGATGAAAGCGTTTTTCGTGGGGGTTAGATCAGATGGTTCGAGTCTTGCTGGCACAGGCATTTTAGATTTTTGAAGTCACTTTGAAATTTGGTTGTGTGTAAAATGGTAGAAACTCATCTGGGGAAGCCCTGCTAGGTTTTGAGTATCAGAAGAAGAGAAAGGGAAAAAAATGGTTAGAATTAGATGAGTTCTTGATGACTATTGCCACACCTTGCAAAACGAACATACATGATACACCATCATTAATCATTTGAATAAAGTAGTAGGACTGCTGATGAGCTTTAAGATCAATGTAAATATGTAATACTAAGGTAAAAATTGTATTAGACAAGCAATTGGATAGCACGAAACTATGTATATTCGACGATTGTTGAGTAGTTTAAGGTGAAAATTGATTAATTAACCTGAATAATTATTTCTTTTCACCAATGGTGCTAGCAGACAGTACACGCTGGAGAAAAGCCCTCTTTAACATACACACATAAACAATCAGACATTTAGCTTAAACTGGAAGTTAGATTACATACATAGAGTTCAAATAGCTCCTACGTTTGCTTGAATTGCAGAAACATAAATTATATCTTCAGCATATAAGCAAAGGTGTGCTAGCAAAACCCAGATTAAAAAAAAAGGATAAAAAGAAAGTAGTCTTCAGTCTTCACCTCTTTAACATACACACATAAACAATCAGCATTTAGCTTAAATTGGCAGTTAGATTTCATACATAGAATTCAAATAGCTCCTACGTTGCTTAAATTGCAGAAACATTAACTATATCTTCAGCATAGAAACAAAGGTGTGCTAGCAAAAACCCAGTTTTGAAAAAAATAAATAAAAGGAATACAAGAAAGGGGTCTTCACCTATCATTAGATTGCAAAGGAAAATAAGCCAATTTTCCCCAACCAGAAGCCAACAATCACTGTTCTCAACACCGGAAGTACGCGTAAATTCGTAGATGAAACAATATTGCAGCAAACAGATAAAAGGTTCAAGGTAACTTTTGTTTTTATTCTTCAAAAGAACAAAAGGGGGAGAGTATCTCACCTTGAATTTATTCACAATCCTGCCAGCAGAGTGACGTATCCAAACAGCTGACAAATGTGTTCAAATTTGAGGCAACAATTGTTCAGAACCCCGCCTCAACCGCCCCACAGCGCCGAAACCGGCATGAACACGAGAATCGAGACCGGCGACCACAGGGCTAGGCCAGAAAAAAGAGAAATCGCCCCTACCTGAGTTGAGATTGAAACATGAATGATGTAATTGAATATAGATTTGATCGGTTTTTTATTGAGTTTTTTCAAAAAAATTGGTATAATTAGTTGTCAGTGGATATATTAAAATATTATTTAAAATAAAAAATTTACAATTGATTTGATGTAAAAATTTGATAGAGATGATCTTAAGGGTAATTTGTTAAAATTATGTGAGTGGTAAGATACTGAAATAAAGTTGACGTGATTCGCAAGAGTAAGAATGATTGATTAGTATTATTTGATTATATGAATAAAGTTGAGTAATGAGATTGAGTTAAATTTAAGTTTTGATTGATTTTTTTATTGAATTTATATTCAATCCCCGAAATAAATGCAGATTTTGAGGGTTTCACTCTTTTACCATTCACAAGCGAAGTCAATTTAATTATATTAAGCATTACATAAAGTTTAGATTTACTAATATAAAAAAATACAATAAATTACTGTTTAATACAAAAAAATAGTTGTACACAACATTCCAATATGTCGACCAATCCTCTCAACATAAAAATATCTATATTTTTATTAGCTATTTTAAATTATTAGTATTGGTTATGATAAAAATTTTCAGTTACCAGTAAATTAAATATTAAACTAATATATTATAAGACACACAACATAATAAAGTAATTTACAACAAAATTGTTAAGTTACATTTAAAAAATCAATATTGTACATATCATTACTATTACATGTAACATCTTTATCTTTATATGAATTTTTTCTTTCAAGTTAGCATTTTTAAGATTTTATTGTTTTTTTCTAAAAAATTTCAAAAAATGTATTCAACCAAAGATATACTTGATATTTATATTTATATTTATATTTTTAAAAGCATTTAATGCAAAAATAATAGTTGTCGTTCAATAAAATGTTGACAAAGTATATTCGGACCATATCGTAGTATTGGTATGAGAAACTCATTTCAAAGATGTTAATATAAAATATACAAATAAGTTATTGAATATATAATACATATAAATAGATGTATCGATATGTATATATATCTATTTATATACATATATATCGATATGTATATATATCTATTTATATACATATAAATATATTTATATGTATATATATATATCTATATTGAATATATATATCTATATGTATATATATCTATTTATATATATATATATCTATATATATATAGTTTTATATTGAATA